AATGGATGCAGTTTCTGATTGTTTTTCCCATTTTCCCTGTGTGGACTTCCGGCAGTCTCACAGTTTAGAGATCGTGACCTAGCGAGGTTAGCAGAAACAGCAACACACACACACACACACACACACACACACACACACACACACACACACACACGTGACGGAGCACAGCTGTGCATATTTCGGAAGCAAAAGCAAGAATGGCATCGTGGGTCGTAAATATGCACAGTATAATTTATACAGTACCTTCAATCGCGACTGTATAAACTACACCACGTCAAAAGTCCAAGAGGAAGAATTAGATCAAACAGATTAGGCAAGCCACGATAAGAAGGGCTATGATATTTTGACATTTGCTGAGAAGTCCTAGTACGGTGCTCTACAATAAATATGGAATCTGGTCGTAGAAATGTAATATTTATCTGCTGCGCGTCGACCGTTTCGTAAGTTTTATAGTTCCATAAACAGAGGATTGAGTGCTCTATTGAGGTTTTCTCCTTTTTGGTATCAAATATTTATCGCCTTTATCTCTCCTCCATCTTTTATTTGCATGTTACCCTCTAGTAACATTTCTGAACTGGAGCACTTATATGATGACATATGTGTATTGTAAGAGTCGTAAAAATTTTACTTAGACTAAAACTAACTGTTCATCCTACCTTGCCCCCTTTTTGCCTTTAAATTTATTCTAAAATACATTCAAACCTGTTTATTGTGCAAGTGCCATAAAACTCTTACTTTAACCAAAACACAAACAATGGAGAGCGAAACAAATAAACTGAAAACTACCCCCAAAAAAAAACCAACACACGAAAAGGAGCCGGGAGCAAGTGGAGGGTACATGGCCATCCCCCGGTCCTGTTGACACAACCAGCGTTTTTAACATTGACCACAATTTTCCCGCCAAAATTAGCAGAGGCGAGTGTTCAAACAGGAATCTCACGTCTGGGGGGCGCGCGGGTCAACAGGGATACCGTCTGCTCCTCCCCAAGGGCGACCACTCCGTTGTTTGCATCGTCTTCATACACAGACGATATGACGGCTCGGGCATTTCAGGGTCACCTCTTGGGTTATTTCTCTTTGTTTCTTTCATTAATTTTCAAGGGGAAAGGTCAGGCCGCAGGATTGTAAGTGTAAACAAAGATCCACAAGTTTTTGTTGTTCCAAATTCCTCATAATTATTTCCCCCTTCCGTTTGACCCATGCAGGATCGGGGTTAAGGTGGGGGCGAGGTTCTTTTGTTTGGGTACTCAGTACGTTGACAGGTTTGTTTGGTTTGTGTTTTTTTAGGGGGAGAGGGTGTTTTGAAGTAAGAGTATTTCGTGATTCACAACACAATTCGGCCATATAAGCACCGCAGATTAAAGGTGTAACATACAGAAAAAAAGAGAAAAAGAGATATAAGAACGATAGATGTTTGATAGGACAGAAGGAGCAAACCACACCATAGTAGCCGCCAACCGTCCACGACGGGGTTTTTTCCACGGCAACTTACCAGGAAACATAGACTAGACAGCTTCCACCCCCCCCC